CCCCATTGAATTCGTGCAACGTTCCGTAAACAGCAGCCGTAGTTTGCTTCAGCGATTGTCTTTTTAGCATTGGCCGCATCGCACCGTTGGAGGATAAATCTGACATTTCACCAACTACCGGATGTTGCACCCATAGATACTCCAAAAGTCGAGATGAGCTGTCTGTTACTCGGTACGCCATGTGAGAATTATTTGTGATGGGATTATTCTGAACACTGAGCCTACACTTTTGGGGTGCAAAATACATCCAATAACAACAGTTTCACATCTCCGGATTTTTATTCAAGAGTGTAATGCCACCCCCGTCCAGGTAATCTTGTCGCTGGGTGACAATCAACGCTTCCTCCTATAGAGCCATTTTAAGAAATACCTTCGGAGGGGATGCAAATATGGTTGGCGCAGCAGAATTCTCAATTGCATTTTGTTATCTTTCTTGTTCAGAACGCAGAGATTGGGCCAACTTCAAGATTGAGACTGAAACGCCACTCTAACGGTGGATGGAGAAAACCCACTCGATCCGTTAATGAAATGCTTTTTCGCGAACCCAATCTTCCTGCGACCCGAATTCAGGGTGCGATCGTCAGCCTCCCGTTGAATTAGAACAACTAACTTCCGGTCAAAATCTAATTTGATTTTTGATTGACTATCCTTCTATCCACACTTCCAGTCAACCATGCTCTCAAATTAGTTTCAGTCTGTACAGCCATTAACCTTGCACTTCGTTGCACTGGTTTTGGTTTTTATCTTCTACATACGTGTTTAGTCGTTAAACGAAGATAGAATGCACCAAACTTGACTTGCTCTCTGTCCTGAAGAATCATCAATGGTGTATATCCACCATCCCATCCGGGGTTCCAATCCCGGGGCTTTTGAATAGAATGTGTGCTACCACTGCTAATTAACTCCCACTGGAACTATCCAGAACCACCTATCCAAGTTTGTTTGGATGTCATCTTCCATGGTAGCCCGTCAGTTAGTACAACCGAAAAAAGCAAATGGAAGTACGGTCAGTCAACTCCAGTCGAAAACTGAACGAATCAGGTCTTCTTGCAAGTATCTGAATACATTACTCCGGGCAAACTGGGTTAGGTAGTTTATTAATCCCCTCTACAAATCACATCTACTTTTGATTAGTAGTGTGCGACGATTTATTCATAATTTTTGATTTCGTTCTTCAGCCTTCACATTTAAATAAAGGTGAGATTCGAGCCCGGCAGCGAGCATAGTGAAACATGACTCAATCTTAGCGCAAGCTTACGCACAGAAAATTCCCGAAATTTGTTCCATCTTATTCGGGTCATCGACCCAAAAGCCTTAGGTGTGAGCGAAATTGTCTGTGAAACTGACGGCTTGTCCGTTCATAATCAGCACCAATGTCTTGCATGCTGGGAGGAGCACTTCGAGGCACAATTTAACCGACCACCAGCGACATGAGGTATCTTGTTGTGTATGCCAAATTATCGATATTCTTACTGTAATCAGCAATAAACCACTTTCCTCTACCACGCCTTGTGGAACTATAACATAAAGATGGCGGAATATAGCTTGTTAGCGAATTAGTGGCTCCGTTCTCTCAAGTTTGAAACACTGAGCAGGTACCCTCCTAGTGGGGGGATTCGATTATCGTCCCCATGTTTAAAAAGGACCGGCCCAGTGACTCTGCCAATCATAGGGATACAAGCTTGATCCCAACTGCCTCAAGTCTGTTGGTGTTCATCATTCTTGCCCTATCTTTTGTCATTATTGTTGTATTGTAACCGTGCCTGTTCTCAAGCCGGTGATATATACCACTAACCAGGAGTCATTGACAGAGAAAAGCCGTGTCCCGGTAGTTGTGAGGAAAATATGAACGGAGAATGGCATGGTGAATTGCGTCTTCTCTGCGCACAACCAACACCATTTTAAGACATCTGCTCTTTACAAATCGAGGTCCGTAGAGCGAATACTTGACTGACTTCTATAACTTGGTGCGATGTTTTCGCGGTAACTGCGTTAGAGTGCACATATTTCAGTTTTATAGGTAGGAAACCTTGTACTTACTAGTGGGGAAGTTCCGTCAAACGACGGCGGACTGCTGATATTTCTTTATTTGTAAGGTCTGGTGTTTATTGGCAGGGATTTGCAAACGAGGTTAAAAGTCGCATTTTTTGGCGGATCAATCGTTGTCACAGTTGGTCACCGCCGATTAGAAAACACCCCGGGTTGAATCTTGAGCAGATTCATTCAAAGATCAATACTTGCTGATGTCCTTTTTCCGTGCAGTTTTGACACTATTCTGTCGGTGTGCTGCAATGCCTAAGCTCTAATGTCTTTCAGCATGTTTCACACACATAGTGAACTTGAATAATTTGATTACTCCTGTGTGCTCTTTTTCCTATCAACTTTATAGATTCTCCCCAGAAAGCACGTGATAGAAACACTGAAGACGATCAGAGCATCCAATTGTAACTCGATCCACGACGGAGCGTTCGGAGCTATCAACGGTACTCTTCCAGGAGGCAAGCAAGATTTGTCATGTTGCCAGGCTGAGGAATTTTGGGTTGCAGTAAATTATTCACTGGCGGCTCTCATGGTAGTTGAGGTAGGCTTACACTCGCTGTTGTGCTACTGTTTCTTTCCTCGTTACATATATTTGTGAATTTTAATTGACTTGAGCTGATTATCCTCCGGACGTCACCTTCACGCACAATCCTCAGTTCATCGATTCAACCATACACTGGGAAGCACTAGACTCGAGTTTCGCTCTTATTGGAGCTTATCGGTAGTGCATATCCACCTTCCCGTCCGGGATTTGAACTCCGGACCTATCGCATGGAAGGCGTGTGCGTTACCATTGTGCCAACCAGCTCATGCCATGGCTGAACCAAATTACCAGTTCATGTTTGTTCAGGTGTCGTCTTCAGTGATAGTCAGTTCGTTTGACCCGGCTGCAACGAAAGGAGACACAGATGACATACTGTTAACTCCAATCGAAAGCCTCCCACCAAATCAGGACTTCCATGCAGGTAAGGACTGATTCGCCAACGAACCTACAAGGCCGGAATGATATTTCGTATTTGACTCATTTACTCACAAGTAATTGTGAGTCAAATACAAAATATTTGTGAATTATTTCATTGGTGAGAATGGTGTGGTCACTCAAGAAAGATTTTCTTCAGAACGATCTTTATCCGTTTCGGGTTTGGAGGTCGCCAATTTAGATGTGCTACGTTAATGTGGACTTTCCCAGCACGGTCAGTGTGGTACTTCAATGTATATGTATACATGAACTTCCCACAACACTTGATTACAAAGTGGACTGCTGTGAATTCTGGCGCCGACTCTAAGGGAACCACAGTGTCCTTTTGTAACAATTCAGTATTGATTAGTTTTGTCGACTGCGTTCACTAGACATTCCGTGGAACATCTCGTTGCTATCTGTGTTATGATTAGGAATTAGATGCACGTTCGCGTTGACGGACCGAAGGAAGACTGTGCGTATGTGTCAATGCACCAAAGCTGGGTTCAAGCAACGCAGACATTTACGTTCATGATCTGTAATGTTTAGCTACTAGTTACGTCTGCAGTAGTAAAAGTGACAATTCGACTGAGTTCACTTCATAAACTGAATATTTGGTAAGCTGGAATTTTATCGGTATATGTATACATGGGGTTCTAGGCTGTCCAAAATAACTGTCGAAAAAATGAGCCGCTGAACTTATATCAGTCACCCTTTGAGCTAATCCGTATGTCACCTTTCGATGAATGGCTTGAGAAGAGGTATTACGAGTCACTTGCCAGCGGCTCGGCACCCCATAATAGCCCCAATTATTGGCTTGTTGTGTCTCACTTCACTAAATACACCATTACAAAGACTACGATGAGTACGATTTCCAAAGAAATGGCTGTGAGCGCCGGCCCTAGGAGAACACTTTGAGGATATCCATTGACTTGGGAATTCGTTTTCCCGCGATCATACTGGTGTGTTTAGAGGCACTGTAGTTTGTGATAGCTGTTTTGTGCACATCTGCTTTTTGGAAACTGAGTTATTTCACTTGAAGCCTAATTTCTTTCGCAGTTAGATGTTTTCATATCATAATTTATCAAAGAAGATATTGACTTCCCTTTCCACTGTTCTGTATTGTGTACTTTGTGAACCGTCCAGGTGGGGGTTCGGTTTGTGTTATTGTGCTCCGGAATCTCCGTACGATGCTCCAGTTCACCGTTATTCATTTTTTATTCTCCATCTCTAGGTGTGTTCTGTTACTTGGCCTGTCCGTTAGTCGTCACGGGTTTACATAGTTTTCTAGATTTTCACCCCGATGTCCCGTTTGTGATGTGGAAAACAGCGTGGGACTTACATCCCTCGTCTTCTCTCTTTCCCTGCCTCCCCCCTTTTCATTCCCTGTTGCACGTTACAGGATATGGCAGAGGAAGGCCTACCGATCGCCGGTGCTACTTACAACACCATCTATAACCGATTTGGTTTGCAATATCAAACACCAGAAGCTTATATGATGGACGGACGTTTTAGGTGTCCGGGCTATATGCGCCCTCTGGCTATTTGGAGTATCCAACATGCCATTGAAGCGAAAGAACGAGAGAAACTATCAAATCAATCAAATGGGACTCATTGATATGTATCAATCAATACACTGCATAGCCCAATTCAAAAGTACGAGTGAACCACTTCAGTCGATCAGACCGAATACAATGATTCTCCAGTGTCGCTCCCACTTCACAGCTCGAATATTTCCGCATACCATTGATTTGTCGCATGACATTTTATCACAGAAGAAGTTCCACATGCCAGCAATATTTCATCAGGTCAACTAACTACTCCACATGCCTTTCATTTAGCTCTACGAGCACACCTTTTGTGCAACTCTGATGTTTCTCGCCATATTATTCGTTTTTTTCAACTGTCCATCCTCCGGTTTACGATTTCATTTTAATCGAATAAACTCACCTTGTTTGTTTCTGTCACTTTTGTAACTGATTAACCGCATGTGTACGTCAGTTTGTGCAATCTACTCTGACCGCAGCTCCAGCCCACCGCCGAGGAATTTTTCTTCAACCTATATATTGGAATTGAGGCAAGCGCCATCCCATCACCTAGCGAACTGCACAGCGGGTTCCATGCGATGGATATCGATAATAAGGATACATGTTGTAAGACCGTCTCCAGTCTGTCTATTCTTCAAATGTCCTGGCCGACTCCATTCACTAATCCGTGGTTCATTTCCTTTTATTGTTCATCACAGCTAAGTCGTTTCTCGCATTGTCCGAAACGTACACGAGCATTCCAGAGACGACAGTTTTCTTTTTCTCATTTAGGACGAATGTTTCTTTTTTCTGAACTGTTTTCGATATTTATTCCAAAAATTTGATTCTGTTATCGTATTTTGTCTGCCTCATATGCCTGGAAACTTCATACATATGTTTTCGATCGTTTGATTTTGGTCTTCGATTTATGTCGCACATCTGGAAATGCTGAACATTTGAACGGTTTTAAACAGTAGGTATCGAGTGCATTACCCGTGTTCATTGTGACCCATCAGATCAAGGCAAGCGTGCTTTTGGGCTACAGTGAAATGAATCGTGTCAATCGTATTTGCGACTGCAACCCGAATCGGGAGTTTCCCAGTCTAACTTTCACTTGTTTTCCTATTTAGTTTAGTTTTTACAACCATTAACCATGCACTTTCGTGCACCGGTTTTGGTTGCCCATTTGGTTAAAAGAGCGAAGTGAAGATTGGAATGTCGAAGCAAATTCAAACGGAAGATGGGGAATACATATAGAGTGGTG